AGCCCCTTTCTACTTACTCTAAGATTCTTTAGGAATAAACAAACCTTGTATAAGTGTCAGCAGTTTCCAGAGCAGCTTTGTGTCAGTAGGATTTGCTGGCTGGCAGCTTTTCTGACTCTTTTTGTTCCTAATCCAGTCCAAGCACAGATTGCAAGTTTTGACTCACAGCAAAGAGTAGTTTTCTGGTGTTTCCTCGGGTCTTTTCTTGGCTTTCTCTGCTGATGAGACATCTCTCTGTGATGTGTGTAAATCTGTGCAAAGCTTCAGCTGGGAATTGTCTCTAAAGGCCTTTTCACAGCTGACCTTTAACACTTGGGGCATTGCAGATGGCTTTTCCCACAGCTGCTGCTGTGCATTATCGATGATCTGTGTGGCTGCTGTCGCAGGTACATCAAGACCTCGGGCAATGCCACGGTTGATCACCTGTCCAAGTACCTGGCAGTGAGACTGGCCTTGGAGGAGCTGCGGAGCAAAGGCGAGTCCAACCAGATGAACCTGGACACGGCCAGTGAGAAGCAGTACACCATCTACATCGCCACCGCCGCCGGCCAGTTCACCGTAAGCACCGAGCCCTGCATGCACCTCTGCTCAAAACTCTGCTGGCCTCAGGGGAAAACTCGTGGCACCAGCTTATTTAGCAGCAGATCGCTTGCTTTTTGGTAAAAACTTGATTGGTAGAAAAGGAGGCATGGAAATTACTTGGGGAAAATGCAGTGATGGCACCAACAATGACCTGGCTTATGCCATTCTTCTCCAATAAAAATTGAAGAGGGAAAAACATTACTTCACTTGAGAATTTGCATGTTTTTTATCTTGTAACTTGTGCCACATTATTGGTGATTCCTTCAAGTCAACACATTTAAGCATTGATTTAAGTAGCCTCTTTTACAGCACAACACCAGATTACCTCATTTGTTCCCATTTTACTGTTCTCTTCTAGGTACTAAATGGGTCCTTTTCCCTGGAACTGGTCAGTGAGAAGTACTGGAAAGTGAACAAACCCATGGAACTGTACTATGCCCCCACCAAGGAGCACAAATAAGTGCTGGGAAACTCGGATGGAACTAACTCTTTTTATAATTATGACTTCTTTAATATTAAAATAAGGCACCCCCAGTATCTTCATGGACAACACATGTGGTGCCTTCAGGCGCTCTCACTATACTCAGTAATATGACTAGACAGTATTCTGGGCTGTATTTAATTTAGTCTTTGGGTTGAGTTTTTTGGTTTTTCCCTAGGAGACTAAATGACCTCCAGTGCATTCCAGTGTTTGAGATGCTTTTTTTGTTCCTAATGCATGATATCTGATCCAGTGTTCCGGTTTGGAATGGCTTCATTTTGTCCAGGTAAATCTGGATTTCTGCTCCATCGGACACAGTTATTAGTAGCCTCTGTGAAGTGTGGAGTGTTGGGTGGCCAAGGAAGTCTGTTCAATAGTAGCATATGCCAAGGAATGTGTTAAATGTTGGAATTTGGTGATTGTTATCCATCTGAAGAATGATTGGTAGGGAATGGATTTGGGATAGTCTTGCAGCTAGAGGTAATCTGATTCCTTAGGAAAGGTTCATTAAGGCATTTTCTTGTGAACAAAGGTGAATTTTGCATCTTGTGAGAGGTATTGCTGCCCATGGCAGGGGCTTGGACTGGAACAGTGTTTAAGGTTCCTTCCAAGTCTAGCCATCCTGGGATTCTAGGATTCCAAAGAGAGCTGCAGTGAGAAAACTGACACTTTAAAATCTTGCTGTTTACTAGGCTTAATTTAATACTTCAGTGCAAAGTGGTTTATCAGATTGGTTTGGTTTTGTTTTTAATGGCTATTTCAGTCAAAAAACACACAAACACCCCAAACCCCTAACTCTTCCCTATGCAGGACATGCCAGTCTTGATTCCTGCCTGGCAGCGTTGTCCTGTCCTCACAGCTGAACTGAAGGAAATCTGGATTTTTCATAGTCCTGCTCTGTTCCCTAGAGTAGAATCTCTGTTGTGAATGTGCTGTAAAGAACTGTTCAGAAAATTATTTTGTTAAAGCAAATCCCCTAAATTCCAGCAATACAACCATCAAAATGCTTTGCTTTGGGGAATTGTGCCACCCCAGCAGGGACCTTTTCCCAGTGTCAGGTGAGTAGGGAAGACTTTGATTGTAAGCTGCTCCAAGATTCTGCTTTTGTTACTTTGCCATAGCTTTAACAAACATGGCTTAGCACTTTGGAAGACAACTTCAGTACTTGACAAAGTTTACCATTTAGTGTCTTACATTTAGGCTCATTTCCCAGCGTGGCAGTGGGCTGTGCTGTCAGGCCTGGTAGCTGCTGGTCATTTTGCATGTGCAGCCCTTGTACATGTTCTGGACCTTGCTGTGGCTCTGAGGGGGCAGCTTGACCTGTCCCACGTCCTGTCTGAAGGGAAGCTATCACCACGAGGTTCCCTTTGCTCTAAGACTTGCTGATGAACCCTCCCCTGTTTGCCCCTGAGGCTTGAAGCTAATAGTTGGTAGGTGGGAAGCACCAGGCTTTACTGCACATGGTGTGGTTTACACTCCTCCTGTGTCCTGCCTGAACTCCCACTGGCTTTGGCATGTGATACAAAAGTATTCTGCTGCTCGGGGATTCTCCTGGGAAGGACTTGGCCCTTCCCTGGCTCTGGGCTTTCCTAGCACTTGTAAATACTGTCCCTTCTGGCTGCTGTTCAGATCAGCTTTATCCCGCTGTGGAAACTGCACCGGCTTCTTTGAGTAACTTAATTATTTCCTCTGACTGGAGAGCCTTGGGCTTTTGTGACATGAAATGGAAGAGTTCAGGCCTCAGAGCACAGAGGGGCAGCTATTAGGGACCCGGTTTTGCTGACTTTGTGAAGCGTTGCTGTATAGACTGTAGTGCATGTCCATGGAATATAATGGGGGGTGGGGGAGTGGCTGTGCTAAATGCTTTAAAGTTACTGGGGAGAACTTCTAGATTAGTGCCAGCATCCCTCCTGGGGGGAGCTAAGGGGAGGGACAGTCCCTTAAGCAAGAGCAGTGTTGTGAAGCTGAGCAGTCTGTCTAGGAGCTGTCACTTTGTCTCCAGTTCTTTTGAAAAGCGTGAGAGAATGTGAAGCTTTTATTTTCATGTTGTAGTGAATTTCCTGAATATTTATGTTCTTTAAATATTATATATATAATGTAGTTGTTTGATTAAATCATTGATTGCACTGTGACTCTTTAGTGCTATAAACTATTTTATTTTCAAAATGCCATTATTCTTCCCCCTTTTAAAGCCATGTTCTTTTCTAAGTACATAATGTGTGTTACGTACGGGTAAGCCTAATATTCTACTAAAGTATCTCCTATCCAACTAAAGTCCCACTGAAACGCTCAAATTGACAATAAAAGCAAAAATGTTATCAACAACTTGTTGGGAATTGCAGTGCTACTTCCTCTTGTGGTTGATGAAGGACCCCTTCGGGCAGTGTTTGTGTTTGTGTTGCCATGCCTGGCACTGTGCAGGTGCAGCTCAGCTCCATCAGTGGTGGCTGTTACAGACCCCTGAGACCAGCTCACCTCCTGAGCCTTGAGTGAGAAATAGGGGCACACAGAAGGTTATCAGCTCTTCCACTGACCTGTCACAGGTGCTGCTGTTCCAACCAGATCAGGCAGCCTGAGGAAGGGGATGAAGGTTTTTCATAGCACTCAGGTTAAACCCAGCAACCTTGGGTGTATTTAACTATTAGGCAGCTTCAGTCAATAGGAGCAGAGAGCAACTGTAATGAACCCTTTCAGCTGAGGTGCATTATTTAGAGATCAAGTTTTGTTCCTTTCCTTGCAGTCTCTCTATATTCACCACATTTAACCAGAAGATGCACCTTGAGTTAAGAGGCAATGCTTGAGTATGGCCAGTATAGGGCTTCTTGAGATGCACTGAACATGAACAGTCTCTTGACTGAGATCCTGCTGCTCTCTGGGCCACCACTGCTTATCCAAATTGCCTCTGAACAGCTTCAACTTCCAGAAAGCTTCCTGGCCATGTGGATCCATGCAAGGAGGAACAAGATGTCTCATGCTCCAGACTCTAACCTACAGTAATGGCAGTAATTGACCCTACCTGGTCAACAGCAGAGACAACTGCTGAATAGGAAGAGAATCCCAGAGGCCTGAGTTACAAACACTCCTTCAGCTGGTCCCTGACAACAGGCAAAACCCCACTCCAGATTACAACAGCTTCTAACTCTCTGGCAGAGGAAAAGAGCCCAGATTGTATAGCCAAGTCTGAGTTTCACTTTTTCTGCCCTTCCAGACCTGGGAATTCCAATTATTCCAACCTGGGAATAGTTGCCTTGGCTTGGAAAAGATAATGAATACCTTTGGCTTCTTACAAGAAGCTTCAAGAGTAATCAAAAGTATTTCCCACAAGGGGCTTCAGTTAAAATTTCTTTTTAACCTAATTTACTGTAATCAGAACAATCCTTTGCCCCAGGTAACTGACTTCAGGACTGCTTTTATTCTACTAACACAAGTATGTTACCTGCAAGCAATGTCTGCCAACACTCTATCCACTTAAAAATCCAAAAATGCCACTAGAATCCTGAAATTCTCTCCTTCCATTTAGCTTTCCAATGTGTTTCCAGGTGATTTTTGAAAAAGAACTGTAATAATAAGTACATTTTTCAAGGAAATGTTGCTGTATCACTGATTCAATAACTCTTCAGTGGGTTCTTCCTTTTTGAAATTAGAGAATAACTCTCCACCAAAGCAATCTGGAATTGAAGAGAATGGAAGAGGCAGCAACTTCTGGCCTGACAGGAGCATAGGATGTTTTGCATCATCCAGAGTGTATTAGTCATGTTACTTCTATTGTACAGTTTCAGAGATGGGTAAGGATAACCCCTCATATTCTGCTCTTAGATAAACCTAACACTGGGGGCCATGCTGAACACCAAACTTGGGAGAAATGCTGACAGCTGTTCAAGTGGAATACATAGAGATACCACAGCTAAGTGTGAGGGAAGGAAAGGACAAAGGCAAGCTCATTTGGCTGGAATGCTGCCATATATTTAAGGAAACCAGAACTGCCAACACCTGGCAGCTTTGCTTGTTCACAGAAGAGATCTTGGCTCAGAGCTACTATTAACTCACCACAAACTTCACCTGAACGCCCACTGTGGTCCCTTGTCCCTGTACCTTTCTGCAGCACACAACCACTGTAAGCTCTGAGCAGACAACTACCTAGGGTGACTACACAATTCACTACAATTCGGTTACAAACAAGTTTGGCAGCAGCCATGCCACCGCTCCTTCCTGTTCTCCTGGGATCAGCTCCTGCCTGGAGGCAGAACCCTGGAAACAGACCTGAATGCAGAGTTACATGTGCAACCTGGAGCAACAGCTGCACCCAGGCAGGACTGCCTGGCTTTAACTCAGAGGGCATTTTATCCTGTGCTGTTACCTTACCTGAACGTGCCCACTCTCTGGATCATAGCTAGCCAGGCTTTAGGAATGGTGCATTTTAGGAACACGTTGTTTCACAATAATGTCATATTCCAAAATACTGAACACTGTTGTCCCTGTCCCACCTCCTGGATGCTGTGCTGGTAGTAGGGCTTGGACAGAGTGGAAAGCAGCCTCCATGCTTCAGTGTGAAAAGGAAGTGAGCATAAAAGCAGGTAACTCCACAGCCTGCCCACATTGCTGGTTCTGCAACCACAGCCATGCTGGGATCAGGGCTAAGTTCTGTTACCTAAGTCTAAACTGTCCCTTTGAAGTACAACAGGGAGCTCAAAAGGGTCAAACTCCATCTTGGGAGAAAGGAGTGGCTTACTGGAACAGGGTGTGCTGAAGTCTCTAACATCCTGATGAACAAACCCATCTGCATTATTCAGCAGCACAGTGAGTGGGGTAGGACTCTGTGAACACAGCAGTGGCAACCCCAGATTTATCATCTTCTGCTACCTCAGCCTCCGCCACCTTGATTGCTGCAGCAGCTGGAACCTCTTCCCCTACCTGGATCTCTCCAGGGAGATGCACAGGGCCCTCTGCCTGTGCCCCCACATAGGTAGGAGTGCTGTACTTCATGAGAACAGTCTTGAACTGCGCCAGGGGCGCGTTGGTGCGGACTCCCATGGGGTCGAAGTGGGTTCGGCTGACGCGATATCCAGCCTCTGACAGATAGTTCAGGAACTTATTTAACCTGGGAAGAAAGGCAGCAAAACCAAACACCTGCATTTAGAACGAACGTGGTGCTGTCAGGGCTGACTCAGAACAAGCTGTGTGTCAGTGCCAGACCAGGCTGGAAGGTGAAGCCACACTTACTTTGGCATGTTCATGCCCTTGATGCTGTGCCGGTGGACGTTGTAGTAGAAAGGGGGCTGCTCAGCGCTGTGCTCGGCCCGCTGGCGCTTCGCCACACCGCGCAGCACCTCCTCACTTTTCCTCTTGCCTGCACCACAACAAAGCCACAGAAACCACTCAGTACTCACAGGCACCCCAAAAACGCCAGCAAAGCCTCAGACAGTACAAACAAAAACAAAGCCATGCAGCAACTTCAGCTGTGTGCCTGCTTTTGTAAGCTGGTGTTTGCAAAATCGGGCCTGAATTTAATCAACAGGCCATTTTCAGTATTAACAAGTAAATTAAACCAGCCTTCATAGAGTATTTGGCATTCTGATTTCACCAATAAATATGATTCTGGATAAAGATAAAATAAAATCAGTACTGGGTGGGAAAAAACTCCACAGTGCAATACTGTTAAATATAAAAAAAGCTACACCAAAATGCTCCACTTACCATGTACTAAGTAGGATTCTGGAGAAGTATTTGATGTTTTAATATATACGCCACACTCTTCTAGAATACAATTATAAGGCAAAATTAATTCCATTGTTAAGTGGCAAAATGCTTTAATTACACAGAATGAAATAATTCAATTATTCAATAATGCGTTCAAATCTATGGATACATTGCTGTTAAGTAACTTATCACAGATCAGCATCTCTAAAAATCACCACAAAGCCAGTCCTCTCTGTGAACAGGCTGCCCCTTTTCTTACCTTGTTTGTTCTCATCACCAGGACTGTGGGTAGAAAAATGTTTCAGAGTTGTGCACTCTGCTTCACAAACTAATGTCTTCAGAAGTGGTTGAGCTTCATCCAAGCCATACTGCACAGCCTCCAGGAGCATCCTCCTGAGGAATCCAGTATTAAATAGGGCTCCTGACCTACAAAACACAAGAGAAGTCAAAAGTTAAGGCTTCTTAATGGAAGCTGTTCCAAAATTCTCTTGCGCAAATTGATTGGCAATTATGTTACGCTGAATTGATTTTTTTGCTATGACAACAACACTGGTCTTGTTTAAAAAAATAATTTAAAAAATCAAGATCACAAAACCAGTCATTTTATTTCTGCCCCAAGATGTTGAGAAAGTCATTCAACCCTACAAGAAAGGTACTGTCGATTGCCAACCGTTTTTAATACTGATCTGAAATGGCTAAAATACTTAACAAGATTTATTCTTGTTTCTACAAATCTTAATTAACATGCCATGTAGTATTTATTACTATCAGCACATGTAATGATTTATTGAATAAATTCTCCACAACAGGAGTTACTTCTGGCAAACAGAGGAACACAGGCAGGTTCTCCTATGCAGGCTATATTCTGTAAGTGCAATGAATGTGAAAACTTGAACAGTGTTACTATTTATTAACTGGTCTGAACAAAAGGAAAATCTGAACTCCCCACTAAATTTAAATCTGCATTCAGTTTCCTGAGATCCTCCTGATTGCTGTACCTCCTTTTGTAGTGCTAATATAAAAACGGTTATGGTGTGAACAGCTCAGCTTCAGAACTCCTGCAGTGACTCTCCCAATGTGTCCTGTGATGTGAACTTACCAGAGAGGACCAAGAAGCACTGCTGTCTTCCCAGGCATGCTGCCGTGGCAGTCACAGGGCAGCTGCTGGTAAGGGTTTTCTGCAGCAGAAAAACAGCATTTAAATTGTTTGGGAACAGCCAGCCATGCCTGTGTTACTGCACAGACAGAAAGAGATGCAGTGGGGGCTCACTTCAGTGAGGTATTTGGAAGGACAACAGCAGAAGTGTGGCACTATTTTCACTTCTGCCAAGCAGCTCATGGTGAGATTTAGTGGTTGAAATAAAAAATAAGCAATAAAATAAAAAAAAAGCAATGTAACTTCCCTGTGTTTCTTTCAAGAAACAAGGAAAATACCTGCCTTCCAACTATTACATAAACAGCTGTCCAGGTGAACAGTAAGTACCAACTACAGAATCTGAAACATCAGCCAGTTACATCTGCAAAACACAGTCCACCTACAAGTCTTGTAAACCCTGTGCAATTCAGGCGTTACAACTGACTTACAAATTTAAGATCTCTACCATAACACTATACTCAGCTACTCATCCCCATCCTTAAACTTCTGATTTTTCAGCAACTTTTTAATACCAGGCCCATTGTATGCTTATGCATCTGACTCTGAACAGGGCAAAAACACCATGAGTTGACAGCAAGCCACGCAAGAACCTCTAACTTGGAAACAGTCTTAGGGTTTATATTAATTTAAACCAACATCTCCAGGAGTGCAGATTTTGTCTCTTGTCTTTGCTAACCTGTGTGTGGGGACAGCCCATTAACAACAGCAGGGGAAAGCCAGACTGCTCAGTCCACTGCATTTTAAGGAACTGAAATGCAGCAGAAAAACAATCTGACACCAAAAGCTATCCAGCTGCTGCCATCTGAAGGAACCCAATAGTATCAAAGGCTACACCCCTATCCTAGAGCTTTTCCTGAAGTGGCAGATCCATGGACATACCAGGCATCCTGGCAGCTCCAGCAGCTAGAGCAGGCTGGGAGGATGTCCTGTGTAGAAACAAATCTCGGAATGGTTTGGGTTGGAAGAGACCTTAAAGCCTATCCAGTGCCACCCCATGACATGGCAGGGATACCTTTCACTAGCCCAGGATGCTCCAAGCCCTGTCCAACCTGGCCTTGGACACCTCCAGGGATGGGGCAGCCACAACCTGAGTGATTTGTGCCACAAATGCAGTCCATTTACAGGAAAATCCATGCAGACAACTGATCCAGCCTATGGCCATGAGGCACAGCGCCCTCTCCACCTCGCACACAGCACTCATTGTTACAAACAGGGGAATTGCTACTAATGGGATGTAAATATAAACAAGGACAGAACAGAGACAAATTGCAAAATAAAAGCCATTTACCTTCCACCATATTGCCCTCTCTCTGGAAAACCCTCTCTTCACACCACTGGCAGTGGATGAGGTATCGGACCTTCTTTGCAGAGTCATCTGCAGGGGTTGGGCCCCGTAAAACTCTGACCACCACCAGAACAAAGTGTTCCAGAGCTACTGCCAGCAGCACTTCAATGCCTTTGTTACAGCGAGCTGCAGCTCTGGGGGGAGAACACACACAAAAACCACATTGTACTGAATTCAGCACTCAAACACTGCCATGGACACCTGAACCTGCTGCACAGTTCTTCAGCCCATCCACTTCCTAGAGAGGGGTACTGAAGATTTGAGAGATCAGGAGGAAGTGTTCTTTCTGAAGTGCCTCATTTTGTGGCCTTTCTGGCAGGCCAAACAAATCTAATTTTATTTCTTCTTATCACAGCTAGAAATAGTGGTCTGCCACCTGTACCATCACATGTGCAGGGAGAGGACAAGGGAAATCTAAACATGTTCAACTCAGCATTTATGCTCTGGCATTCTCAAAACTTCTGATGATTTAATTTCTTCCTCATCTTTCCCAAGCAGTTGTTCCATCCTCTTGCCTGCACTTTTTTCTCCAATTAGGTTTTAGGTCTTCATTTCTTTAACAGACTGTGTTTAGTTAGGGTATCTATATGCAAATAACTGAATTCACAAGTCAGTAATTATATCAATCTTTTTAACCTCAAATATGAGGATCTGCAGTGAACATCAGGTTTCACTGAAGCAAATCTAACTGAAAGGCTTAGCTAGAAGCCATTCAAGCATTTTGTTTCGTATTTTAGGAAGTCCTATGGAGTTCTAAAATGGCAAAATTGATAGAGAAATAGAAGAGTTTGCAAGTCAGTTTTTTTTTTTTCACATTACCATCCCATCCTCCTTACCCTGCTGATGCATTTTAGCCTCACTATTTCTAATAATTACCTAATAATTTTTTACCCTAATTGGAAATGGTTTGGCAGTACCTTGCGACAGCAGCAATTACAGTCCTGGCTGCCAGCTCCTTGTAGTACTCTGTTCTGACAATATTGCAGCCGTAGTGACGCAGGGCCACGTGCTGAGCCTTGGCATAGAGGGAGCTGATGTCTGTGGATGTCACTGACACAATCCCAAGGTTTCTCACATTTCTAAAGGCAGAGTCCAGGTAATTCACAGAAGTTCCAAAGGGGTCCAAATGGCTGAAAAGAAAGGATGTACCACTGAGTGTCTATAAATGCTCCAAAGTCTGGCTTTACACTGAGGAAAACACTGTTTTATAACCTTCACCTATGATCACAGTTAAAACAGAAAGAAAGAACAGGACTAAAACTTCCAGCAATGCTTAAATCTGGATGTTAGTCATTAATAACATAAAAAAATCCCATCACTTATTTTGATATCTGTAGAGGGTTTGAGTGCATGCATCTATATACCCAACCTGGAAGAATCAACCTGCTTTAATCCAAAGTTAATATGCTGCAAAATACATAAAAACAATAAATGCAAAAACCAGTATTTTAAACTAAAATAAGTTTTAAAAAACCCCAAAACTCATTTGGTATTTCCCTTCAGCAAACTGACAATGAAGTTATAAAAAAAACCCAGCCTGGGTTAAAATTTTCATGTATTTTTATAGTCCATTTGAGCGTCAAAAAGACTAATATTTTTCCAGCACTTTCTGAAACATTTAAGATTAAAGTTCTGTCCCCTCACTATTTCTGGGACAATAAAATTACATTTCAAGTGACTGCTGGTTGATTCTTCTATCATTCCAATTTCTCTAAATAAGTATATACTGTGAAGCAGGGTGGGCTGTGTCATTACCAAACCAGAAAACTGACAAAACATTGAATACTTACATAAAATCAAATGATCTCAAATGCATGACAACATTGGCATCCATTTTTGTCACCTCAATGGTGTCACTGTTTTCTTCTCCATTTCCCACAGTTTCACCATTGTCTTCTTCCCTAATGCTCAGTTTCACCTTCATTTTGTTTAAATGACAATTTTCCTTAATAATTGTCACAGAATTTTCATTACAATCATTAATTGTAACTTTCACAGAACTTCTGAGGTGCTTTGCCCACTGCAATCCCATGATACCTGCAGAAAAACAGAAGTTAAGGACAGTAAGACAACTGATTTTAAGAAGACCACTGAACTTTAATATTCTTACAGCCTTTTTAAGCCTTAATACAGCTGTCTTTTTCTATGGAAGCTCAGGACTCCCTGCCTAAGAAAGAAAATTATTGTTTACCTCAAGTTATTTTTGAGCATGTGTTGTCAGTTATGAGTTACTGCTGCTTCCTCCTATTAGATATTAACCAAAATATTAAAGAAATGGACTTTACCAGTGGCACCAAAAGCATCCAAACATTCAATGGGTTTGCGCTCCCCAGCAAGTACGGCCAGTGCACAGAATATCAACTGCCTGGAAGATAAAAATGGCCATAGTCTGTCAGTTGAGAGAACATTTTGCTTCCTTTTCCTTATTTACTTCCCTTTAAACTAACAGTGGGACATTTAAGCTAAACTCCACTTTCTACAGGGAAGAACTGTAAATAAAAATCTCAGGTGTGCTGAAAAGCTGAATTCTACAGCAAGGTATTCTTAAAGTAAGATCTACTAATTACAGGAAAACAATTACTTCAGAAATAACACTATTTCACATATAATGGTTTTGGATATAAATATTATTTATCAGTAAGTGTTTTCTGATAAGAAGCTTTTTTCCCCTGCCCTCTGAACAGAGGTTTTGCCTTTCAAAACAGATTTTTCACTACAAACTCCCCATCCCCTCTAATGCATCCTCCTACTCCCTGCTCTCTCACCTGTTAAGTTTCATTTTAGGATTAAAATAGGAATCTGTTTTCTGGGGCGTGGAGTGGTTGGGAAGAACCTGCACATCTGTGGCTGACTCCTTCACCACTGTGTAAGACGACTTGGGAGCACGAACTGAAACAAGTAATTGTGGCAGAAGGAAAGAACTGGTGAGAACTGAAATTAATATTAACATTAATATTATTAGTTGGTAAGTAACACGGAAAAACTGCTCCCATAATGCAAGAAGTCTGGGTTATGCTGCAATCCATCCAGCACATGGACCATTTTACAAGGATGAGGGGAGAAACAGGCAGTAATTCATCTTCTAATCTCAAGTGGCAAATCAGGATCATGCTCTACTGCAATTTTCTTCTTATAAAATACCAGGCTTGTTTCTCAGTTGGGCTCTTATGTATCCATTCCAGTTTAAAAAAGCCAGCCCCTGAGCCTGAGGCTTGGCACATTTGTTTTGCAGGTTTAAACGTAATACATTACTAATTAATTAAAACCCTGTTAACAGTCCTGAATGTGTCTCAATGAACTACAAAAATCCCTGAAAATCCTTGATCTATTTTAAGTTATTGAACAGCCCCATGAAATGTTCATGAACAGCACAAGCACATGGACAATTCCAGCATCAGAGCTCTGTGTAGATAGACTGTTTGTGGCAAAACAAGCTTTCATATCTGACAACTGTAAACAGGCTGCCATTCCTCTGAGCAATTCATCCCGAGGCTAAAATGTACCTAGGAACAACCAGGAAAAATTTGTACCAACTGGTTATGTCCCAGTGCTCACCCTGCCTCTCTCAGGGCTGTCAAACACACACACGGTTTATCTGCTCCACCTTCAGGAGCCCCAAGAGCTGCCAAGTGCCTACAGATCACAAAATCTCTGGATTTCTCCTCCCCGAGGAAATGCAAATGTTTCATGCATTTTGTTAAAAAATGCTAAATGGGCCATTCTTTACTCACAACTCTGAAGGGAAGCACACAGACATTAATGTATTTCATAGCACAAAATCTATAAAGACATGGAATGTGGTACTACTATCACTTTTCAGACATGCAAACTGATGCCCAGGCATCAAACTACTGGCATTCCAATTACTTAAAATGTTTTTAACCTAGTTTATGCAAGTTAGAAACCAAAGCCTCATTCTGGTCAAAGTCAGGTAGGATTGCAATTTACCAAAGAACTACTGACACATGATGGATCATGATCTTCTGAGACTGAAAAAACATCACCTTGTTTTGGGAACCCAGGCTGGTGCAGTCTGGATAAAAAGCTAAGGATTTTTATACTGTAGAAAGATCTACTCCAGACTTTTTTTTTTTCTGTGGATGCCACATCCTCACTCTTTTGGAGACACACAAGCTGGTGCTTATAACATTAAGGGTGAGGGGAACACTATAACACTATATGTGTTCTCAATAAGAACACAGGGACTGAATGCAACACTATATCACAACTCTGCTATACCTCTGATGAAACATAAGCTCTGAAATATTAAGGGCAGAGTTTTCATTAGAAAGGCTAACTGTTTCTGAATTTTTCCTGTGTCTCCCACCCCTTGTCACAGTTATTGCACATGGTGTATGACAGAAAAAGACTGAATGTTTCCTGTCAGCCAGAGCTCACCTGTGATAAACCTCGACTCAGTCTCTCCTTTATTCACGTGACGATTAATGTGACCTATCATGTCAGTTCTTCGTACTATAGTTGCTGAGCAGATGATGCAGTGGTAATGAGCTCCCATCTTTGACAATGTCTGTAAAATAGTGTATTTTATGTAGTTTCAGAATACAGAAAACATGATTGAAGTAGAACTGAACACAGGCATATGAGAAGTCATCTGTCTGTTACCTCTAGAGCATTCAAAATATCTGGAATCTACAGCCAGAGCTGAGGTAGGCAGCTGTTACCCACAACAAGAGGTACAACCACATGCAGCTACCCAAGGGCTCTACCACACATCCTGGACCAACAAGCTTTTGGCATCACACAGAGAGGAGCAAGCTGTATTTGGCAACTCAGCAGATCTCAAAAGTTCCCCTTAGTCATGCAATTCCCCCACTTTGTACAGTAACAAGAATTTCTGTGATTCAGCATTTTTACCTGGTCTCCAACAAGGTTGGGTTTTACTGGCCGACAGGATAAGTAACAGATGCACATTCTGTACCCTGGAAAACAAATGCCATCCCAGAACAGTTAATGAACAGCATGTCTGTGGCCTGCACCATGTGCTCTCACTTCAGATTTCACCAGATAGCAACAAAAGAACATCACCAATTATCTGGTACATCCACTCCCTGCACAGGGAAATTTATCAGCTAATTATACACTTTAAACTTTAAAATGCAAAGAATTTAAAATTTATTAAAAGAAGTCTCTGAGCATCTTATAAAGCTACACCAAGTCTCCAGTTCAGAAATACCTGCGAGTCTTTCACAAAAATATTGTTACCTGGCTAAAAGACTTGTGTGAAGACTCCTATAAACAGATGTTGCACAGTTAAAGAAAACTAAAATGAATTAAAGAAAACTAAAATGATACTCCACTTGGAACATTTATAGTTCAACTTTATCTTGCCCATCCTCTGAATAGTCACTTTATTTCCCACAAACCCATACACCTGGATTTTTAAAGAACACACACTGCTCACTTTATTTTCCCTCCCAAACTTCTTGCAGGGATTTTAATGCATCTTCTGCATAAAGACTTCAAGGGTTTATCAGAACACATGGAATCTTTATGATCCACCAAAACTGATCACCAGTGTGTGTCTGATTAATATTAATATATAACTAAAACTTATATTGAAGTAATTTTCATGACACATATTTTAAATTTTATTGTAATTTTCATGACATGCCAAGTAATTATCGGTGTTTTTCTAAAGAGAAAATGCATAATTGTAACCATTCTGGCTGGAGAGTTCCTTCACATTTACATTTTACAGCCCACCTCAAAATTAATTCTGTCAAAATATGGTTCTAATTCAGAGCTGGTAACAAAATGCTTAAGTCAAGGGGAATTTTGAAAGATGAAACACAGAACATACCCACAATTTCTTCTAGTATTTACTATTCAAACCCAATTGCCATTACCTTCAAATTCAACAGAAACCTTCCAGTGCAAATTCTGCAAGTGACGATGGAGTTTGTGGCTATAGCAAGCTTTGAATTTCTCTTCAGGACACAATGGACAAGGCTTCCTTTTATCTGAAAATACAATTAAAAACTATAAGAAACATGAAATGCAGTTATCACTTGTGTTAGCTGAGATGCAGAACAAGAGAAAAAAGGCTAAAGTAAAATCAACACAAGTTAGAGATTAAATCCTCAGGGAACATTCTATTTCATGCACAAACTTCAAATTTATGTGTTGCCTCTTTCTGCTCCATAGACTATAGACCAAAATCACTATAGCTTTAAAAATTATTAACTTCTACAAACTTTGGGTTTTGGTTTCTAGTATTTTTTACTCCAGCAACATGAAGCTAATGAAGGTTCTGAAAAGTACTGAGGAACAACAGAACTTTACAGATGACATGCAAAGACTTGAAATGTTTTAAAAAACCCACCAAACCGAGACTCCCAACAAACTGTGAGGTAAGAAAAAGATTTTATTGTTCTAACTCCTAGATCTCTTGGACAAAACAAGCAGCTGATATCTATTTAAGCTGCAAAATAAGGCAGTGCACCCTGTATAAAATAATTTTGAAAAATATAAAATAATTCTTGAAAATCCTGTATGTGAGACATAAAAAGCAAAGGCAAGGCTGTGTACAAAGGTGTAGAAGCCCTTGAAGCAGTAACCTAAATAAAAACTAGCTAAATGTCAAACAACTGCTCAGGAAGAATTTAGCAGAGGAACAAGAGAATAAATCATAAAGCCCTTCTTTACAAAACCCCTCATCTCTAAATATCATAAATATATGTAGTGTGATAAAGATAAAACCTAAAGGAAAATGTAAATACCTGTAACACAAAGATCTGTGTTCTGGGACGCTGCTGTGTAAAACTCACCTTCTCTCAGGTCAGCCAGTTTCTCTAGATCAGCAAGATGCCTCTGAATCGAAATATGTTTGTCTAAAAAAAATCCAGATATAATTAGAAGTTAAACAGTTTTAAAGATTGCTTTTAGTTTATTGCTACTTTTCTATGCAACATATCAAACCTAGCACTGTTAGAGAATGACTGCAGTAGTGACTGAAATACTCGTTTTTGTCCTTTTACTTCCATGGCAGCACAAATGACTGCAAAAATTATCTCCAGAATAGTTGTTTAATAAGATCCATGTATTTTATTTCTACTTCCTTTTAATACTGACACACAGACTTTCCAAGATAGAAAGACTCTAATTTTAAATAACCAGCTGAAAAGATCAAGTCACATTCCCTTTACACCTGTTTTTACTGTTCAGCATTGTTAGTAAATGCAAATCATGCACAAAAGCAGTACAAAAATATCATATGAACTCACTGGAAAGACTAAATATCAACTATAAGTGGACCAAATTTAAGAACAATTATTCACTGCATAGCCAGCATACATTAAATTCTACCATTTTTTTTCCTTTCCCTTAGTAAAGAACCATCAGTAAACCATTTAACCTTTAAATCTACTGCCTGATTTTTCAACTTATCAGTCAGAATTTGCCAATACCAAGAAAATTGGGTTGAAATCTGCTTTATTGATTCCAGCACACAGAACTTCCCAGTCCACTGTAACACAGATTCTATAGCAACTTGCAGCTTTATAACGATTTTACAGCATAAATCTTCAGGTTTTCTTATGCCAGACAAAACAACTGATCCACATGGTCAGGATACAGAGGTGAGTTTTAAAATAAGATTTCACACACTCTTTTTACCTTTCCTACCTAGGGTTTCTACCTTTCCTCCAGCACATGGCACAAATATTAAAGAGTTTATTAACAAACCTCGTGGGTAATCAGATGATACATCCAAAATGTTGCTATCAGATTCCCTTGGGCGTTCTTCCTCTGCTCCTTTGTCTTCTGCTTCCAATTCTGACTCGGGAATTTTCACACCAATGTTGTTGCTTTTCACATTTTCAGAGATCACCAAACCATCTTAAAATCAAACAAAAACACAGTAAAAATGTCATTGATGTAAGTAAACTATAAAAACATGTTCATTTGCTCCCAATAATCTGGTGCTGACTATAAACATGAAGGAAAAAAAAATATGTAGGAATGAATCTTCACTCCAATTATCCTTGGAAACCACTATGGAATAATGTCATTTTGGACAGCTGAAATGACTATTCACACATCAGTATCAGATGTTTAAGATGAACAAAATAACATTTACACGTTGTTTGCAGTGAAGCAAGGCAAAGCAGGCAAGAAGAGCTCCAAATTCTCCAGACAATTTACTATCAGCTAAAAAAGTTTGGTAAAAGTTTAGTTCATGAATCACACAGTATGAAAGAAGGGACTTAGGCAGGAATGTGCTATCAGCAGAGGCAGAGATCAGGGTTAAGTGCTGGTGCCATCAGCATTAGCAAACGAATTACTTCCCCGGCCAGTACACTGCGGGCCTGGTGAAGAATTTCCAGCATTTAATGAGGCTGAGATGGGGCAATAAAATAAGAATGAGAATAGTCAAACCCGGGGAAAATAACTGAAGGAAAAGGTGGAAATCCCCAGGTGTGGTCTGACCCCTCTCCAAGGGATATAAGGAAGCACTAGGAAAGGATTCAGAAAGCCACATAAATCTACAAATATTGTCCTGCTCCCAGCAAGATTCCAGGGGACAAGTGGAACTAGTGAAGTTTCAACCATGGGTAACAAGAAACAAAGCTCTGGCATCGATTTGCAACTACTGAGAAGCAACAGAGCAGGCCAAGGCTTTCCAGCCTTGATGGGACAGACAGGAGGTGCAGAGAGAGCACAAAGGGAGCCACAAGCTGTCTGTCCTGACACAGAAACTGGGATCCACCTCATGAAGAAAATACGGACCTACAAACTGGTTTGTGTTGGAAATTATTTCCAGAGAATGCAGGAATGGATGGTTGTTCTCTGGATGTGGAGGGAGCAACATGGGATAGTGGAAGCTGTCCCTGCCCATAGCAGGGTCTGGAGCAGGATGGGATTTAAGGTTCCTTTCAACCAAACCATTCCATGATTCTCTGGTTTCACTGGTCTTCTCTATCCACCTATTTCAAAAGTTAAGACAGGTTGGAAGGAACTTACAGCAATTCTTCAGATTCCCCTGGCCTAGTGTTGTTTGTTTTCTTTTAAACATTGCTGTTGGGTAAAAATATCTGCTATTATGAAAACTGACAGAAAGAGAAAATGACAGGAATACCAGAAGACAGGGGCTCAAAAACCTGTAAAAACAGAAGCACAAAGTAAAATTATTCTACCTATCTTAAAATCTATCAGGAGGTGCATTGTTACAAAGAAATGGTTGCTGTGCTCCGCACAGACCTGTTTTAAGATGAGAACTCACCTAAGAAAGATTTGCATGGAGCCTACTGCTCCATTAAAAAGTTGCAGAATTCCTGGTGATAGTTTCTACATGCTTTATTAATATAAAGATAGAAAGAAAACGAGTAAGTAAAAACAAGTTTAGTAAGAAATTCCTAACAACTATTGATTAGTTGTGGGGAAAGTGGAAACAGATATAAAAATGTATAGTGAGAGTACAGCAGTGACAAAAAACCAGCAGAGTTGGACAGTCTGCATCTTCAGAGCACGTGGAGAGGTTAAAATGGTTGAAAAGGATAATACGCATATGTTTTTAAAAAGCTAGTTAATATGTAAATTAACAAGGAAAGAAGTAAACTTTCACACTGAATGATGAAGAAAGGCAGGCTGCTACCGAGCCAAGACGTCAGGATTTTTTAAATGCCCACCGGGAATCACTGATCACACACAAAGAGAATAACTCTTCTTTAGAGAGCCTAAAGTACACCTACACGAGAAAAAGAATTAATTAGAAGAGTCAGTTCACCACCCGTAAGGCTGCAGCAGCAAAGGGCTGGCAGCAAGGACTCACTCTGGGAGCTGGAAGTCCAGCAAAAACCAATTTACAGCACCCCAGAGCGGGTCAGGTCGGAAGGACCACGGTGGTCCCACCTCGCTGCTCCAGCAGGCTCATCCTGGAGTACATGGCGCAAACACGTTTTGGTTGAAAAATCTGCGAAGAAAGATGCGCGGCTGAGCCCTGAGGGGACCTCACGGAATAACAAATGATCCCCAAAGACAAAGTATCGGTAGGCTTGGGGAAGAAAGAGGCGCCAGGAGCGCGGGTTCAAGCGTAGCGAGGCCCGGCGGCAACACGTGTGGCCCCGCACCGCGCCGGGAGAACGGGAGAAGCGGGAGCCTCACAGCGCTCCCCGGCGCAGGCGGACAGACGGGAAGCGGCCCCGGATTGAAAATCCAAACCCGGCCGCGGTGTGAATCCAACCCCGGCCGCGGTGGGAATTCAAACCCGGCCGGGCTCCGCATGGCGCCCGCCCGCCCGCAGCCCGGCGCAGAGGGCCCGGCTCCCCTCCCCGCCCGATCCCCGCCCGCTCTCACTGAGCGCCGCCGGCTCGCCGCCGCCTTCACGGTCATGGTTGTGGCTTTCCTCCTCTTCCTCACGGTGCTCCTGCCGCCGCCCCAGCGCGGCCTCCGCCGCCTCCAGCGCTGCCATGTTCCCGCTGCTCGTCGAGGCAGAGCAGCTCCGCCTACACTTCCCAGCGCGCCCGGCCGGCCCGGCGCGCACCGCGGCGGAGGAGGAGCCGCGCCGGGGCCGCGGAGCCGTGCCGGGCACGGCCCGAGCCGCCCGAACGGCCCCGACCGCCGCGGGGCCCGCCGGGGAGCGGCCGAGCGCGGTGAGGAGGAAGGGAAGGGCAGGGAAGCTGTGTTGGCAGCGCCCCCGGTGCCGTGCGGGCTGTCCCCTCGGAGGGAGTGGGGCAGGAGCCGCCGCCCCTCAGCGCCCGCGGGAGGCTCCCTCCGAGCCTGGGGCTGCCGCGCCTCAGGGCGGAGCCGCTGCCGGCCTCCCCTCTCGGGTCCGGGCCCTGGGAGCTCCGGGTGGAGCCTTCCACAGCTCCCCTGAGCTTCCTGTCGGGGTGTCGGGGTGTCAGTGTGACTGCTCCATCCTCGGGAGGGGCCGAAGGTGGCAGCCGCAAGTCGGCACTGCCTCAGGCAGTCCCAGCTGCAGCTGGGCTGGCAAAGCCCAACAAGCCCATCGAGTCAAGCTGTGCCCGATCCCCAGCGTGGCACAGCTCAGAGCACCGCGTCCAGGCCTTCTCTGCGCACCTGAAGGGATGAGGACTCCAACACCGCCCTGGGCTGACAATGTCTGATGGTCTTAAGACTTGGTTATACGACTCAGTGTTGAAGAATGCTAGTTTTTGTTTGTTTGCTGGTACAAAATAGGTATCTCTGAGGAGGTGTAATTGCTGTCCTTTCTGCTCTGGTGTCCCCTCGGATGTGAATAATTAATTAACCCTGTTGAGATCTGCTGTGTCTCTGTAATGAGAAAACAAAAGAGAACTATTATAAAGTATTTTTCTCTGTGCAGTTAAAACTTATTTTTATCTCATCTGGATCTAAAAACTTAAGCAATAAAGACAACACCCTTTTTTTTTTTGTAGGATTTGAAGATGTCTAAAAAGAAGCTGAAGAAGTTATCTGGAAAGGAAGTCTCTTCAGATGGCCAGGATGACAAAGTAGGGGCAGAAATATTATTACTTTTGTATCTTAATTCAATCTCCTACATTCAAGAGAACATTCTTTAGCAGCCTTGTGGTAGAAGGATGAGTCTAATCTAAAGACAGCATCATAAAGAACAGCAGGAGGGTTGAGCTGGGCACATAAATGTGTTTTTCTTCAGAGGCTGTGAATAGTATGGGTATCAGAAAATAAAAGACTCTTTCATTTCAGTGTATCTTTCTGTTTGAGGAAAGTTGGGTTTAATACTGGTCCTGGAACCAGTGCTGTTTTCTTGGACTGTTCTGTATCTTGGATCATATATCCTAATTTTCTGATTAACCACAAGTTATACTTTTGATGAGCGACTCGTGCATTTCTTTGTACACAGTGGGACATAAATTAATGACCAAAATTCTCAGCATATTCTAGTACATACTTGTATGTAGTGAGTCAGCTTTCACTGAATCACTTGTAAAACGCAGGTGCTACAGGAGTTGTCACCTTTTGGTCATACTTGTGTGTCGCTTCCTATTATTTTTTATTGTATATGTCCACTTCTGACAAGTTACTTGCACTCAGAAGTGCAATACATAGTTGATAAATCAGTAGTTTATTAAATCCACACTTAAATTTGCTAGATTTTTTTTCCTGTTGGATTTTTCAAGGAATGTGTATAAAGTAAGAGAGTTTTTACTTGTCTTCTTAACAACTTTTTGAAACTGTTAAAAAATGAGCATGATTATGGCCTTATGAACAGAATTATTCATGTTAGAAGCTTTCTGATCATAGAAAAAATGTTGTTCAAAGTCAAATGTTTGTAACCATTATTTCTTGCCTTGATTTCCTTACTATTATGCAATTTGTCTTCTAAAATTAACTTATCTTAAGATGCTTTATTGTTTGGGGATTTTTTACTTCTGTAATACAAAGGGTAAACACTTGGCTTAAAACCCCATACTGTAGCTTATTGCCATTGCTAATGCCTCACCAGTTTGAAGAATACAGCTTTAACAGCAAAAAGATAAGGAAATCTCTTAACAGGAGCAAGTGTCCTGCAGTGTGATCCCAGCATGGGTGGGAGGTGTTTTACACCCCAAACTGATCGTGCTGGGAGGAGAGGAGCAGTAAGAAAATTTGCTTATGATGATTAAATTAAGTGAAAACTTTTGAGAAAATGAAGAGATAGGTTGAAAAGAAATATTAGAAATGTCCTGAAAACTCATAGTTGTCAGGGAATAGGCCTTGAAGAGAGAAATGAGCAGCTGGAAATGGTTTTGTTATCACCAGAAGTTGTCCCAGCAGCATCATGAGCTCCACATGTCCCAAGGGAACTCCTTCACTGCTTTCCAGCTGCTGGGGACAGCAGGGGTGCATGTGACCCCCGGGAGAGCCTTTGGAATTGTCTGTCATTCTGTTTGTTCTTTGCATTGCTGGTATTGGTCCTGCAGCTCCAGAACCAGCCACAGGCAGAAGTTCTCAGAATTGCCTTAATTTAGGACTCCCCTGGTTTGTGCAAGCCTTTGATTTTTGCATTAAGTGTTCTCCAGTGTGGAAGTAAACCAGCTAAGGTAGGAAAAACAACTGCAGCAGTGACCTAATGGCCTCACTGAGTCAGCAAGCCCCAGTTATTGAAGGAGTGAATTATTTGTGAAAGGATGAACTGTCTGGAGCTTCCTTATCCAAAATAATCCACGCGTTACCGTTCTCTGTTGTAACTTCCTACATCTTGCTGTGGTTTTGGAAAAACTGAGTTGTATAACCCAGAGGTGTATTAAAACTACAAGTGGACACATGGTTTTACCTGAGTGAATGCCTGTGAATTGATCATGGTAGGAATGTTACTGTCTCAGATCTGTAATTGTCACTGCTGTAGTGGACCCTGTTGAATCACTTTGTAAGCATTAAAGTGCTCCATGATTAGTGCTACTAGACCCTTTGCACCCTTATCTTTGCATGCAGACCTTGGCACCCTTTGACCTTAGTGTTTCTCTGAACAGCCAAACCACTCAGTTTTGACATTGTCTTATGAAGGTTGTTTTTTTATTTCAACTGCAGTTTCCTCTGTAAGCCCCTGAGTTTTCTTTTCCAGAACTCTGAAGACACAAGATCTTACAAGCACACTGTGAAAGGAGAAACAGAACTTCAGAGGTAAATCCTCAGTCTGTCATTAAATAGAACTACTTAAAAATATAACATTCACAGATCATTTAATGCTGAAAACTTTTTTTTCAACCTGTTCACCAAATAAGATATGGTATTTCTTTGGAGATTTTAAACCTAGTGCACAGTCAATATAATCACTGAGTATTTTCTCTGCTCTTATAAGAAAGTTTCCTAATAATTTTTCATATAGTTCACGATTTCTGTAGAATGTTACTATATTCCCCTCTGTTGTTCCTTTTCCTAGTTCCCCAGTCAGTGCAGGATAAGCAGTTTGAAAGCTGTGTGTTTTGGCACTGTGTGACCAAGCTGAGCTTTTAGGTAACACACCTCCTTTATCACTGAACAGCTGTTTAAACTCAACTGTGTGATAAGAAGAAACTCAACTGTGTAGGGTGTCTCTCAAACCAACAGTGAATGCAGAAAAAGTTTTTTCTCCATTTTCTTAAAGCTAAAATGGCTGTACAGAGTGGAGAAAGGTAAATCCAAAAAATGCCGTATCAAACTAGTCTGAAGGACAACTGTTGCTTCAAGTTCATATTTAGGAATACGGTGCTCATAAATGCTTAGCTCTGTCTCAATCAAATGCAGGTGCCTTTTTTGTTGCTCTTTTCTGAGCTAAATTACATTAACTGAGCTAAATTACATTGCTTTCTTGATCATGTTTCTATAGGTCCAAACCAGAGAAAGATGGGCGTGAGAAGAAGCGACACCGAAGTTCTCGTGCTTTTCACGATGCTGATGGAAGATCCCAGGAAAAATCTCCAAAGAGAAGCAAAAGCCCGGATGGTTCTTCAATTCAAATTGAAAAGCAGAAGAAAGTTGTGATCCAGTTTAAAGCCAAAGAAATCAAACATGGCAAAACCACCCGCACTCCTGATGTGGTAACTACCAGCAAGGAAAGATGTCGCTGTGATGGAGTAGAAGAAAAAAGGCTCTGGTACAGCTTTGAACTTCAGAGGGACAAGGCACTAAAGAAAAAGAGAGAGAAAGCTGAACTCTGTAAACTTAAGCTAAAAGCAGAACAAGATATGATAGAAAAGTTTAAGTCCTCTGTGTACGAGGTACCACATAAAAAGGCAGAGGACTCAAAAAAGCGGTGTGAAGATATCAGAATTCCCAAAAAGCCACCTCACAGCTCTGCAGGGACTAGGCATGGTGATAGACCTGCCAGTAAGGAACAAAGTGCATTATCTAGCTTCTGGGAAGAAGAGGAGGAAGAAGAATATAAGGACTTGGCTGAGAAAAAGAGGTACACGAGTAAACACAGATCATCGCACTCTTCATCCCAGACTCCACCACGATGGGACTCTCGGAAGCGCCAGAAACACGGAACTGGTTCTCCTAAAGCTCCTGAGCGCTCAGGAACTAAAGAAGGAGACTTGGAAGCCCCAGCATTGTGTTTTAAGCAGGTAATGAAAACCCCATTCTTTGTATTATGTAGATGTTTCAGGATAGTTTCTTATATGAGCAGACTGTCTTTTTACAGAATCCAGACAGGTTTCATAGCTAACTAGGTGGATTTTTCTGATCCTATTGTAAACCTTGTTTCCATGTTCCTCAGCTAAATGTTAAACAGACCAGAAGAGTAAAGGTCTTGGGACTGTGTCTGCACAGATGCTTCCATGGCTTTGCTTTGCTGCTGGGGGTGTGGAATATTTCAGTTTAGGTATAAATCAGCTGATTTTTTTGTTTTGAGCTGATACAGTTATTTCATTTTTTGAATTAATAAACTGAAGTAATGAAAACTTGCTGCCAGACAAAGCATTGCTTAGCAGAGTGATGCCTGGGGAGTTTGGGGTGGATGTGGGACTAAATTGGTATGTGTGCTGCAGAACTTCCCTTTTATCTGTGACAGGTTTATTTCTAAGCTTAGCTTGAGATGCAGAACCAAA